TCAAGATGACATCATATTAAAAGTTTCCATGACTTTTGAATGCATTTGTATATAAAGAATAAATTGATTATAGTAAACAGAAGCTCATGTTGCCTGTTGGTTATGCCAATGGAGGTTTTGAAATATCCATTATTGGAAGCTATAAAAAACACAAGGAAATATTTCATGACATCCATACTTTGAGGTTTTTCCCCCTGCTTTAGCAGCTTATTCACATAGCATTTTAATATTCATTTGGAATCTACTTTGTCTGCAACAACTGTATAATAAACAGAGAGATTGCAGAATCTTTCTATGAGGTCTCATAGATATCTCTAGAAATTATGTAAACCAAAGACACAAAAATCCTACCAGGAATTTATGGAATGCAACTGGTTTGATTTTACTTGGTAAAACACTTTCTGGCCTCTTTTCCTTCGTGATAAATCTGCAACACAAAAATAAAACCAGTAGGAGAGGGGTCAAGGACAACTTGCCCTGGAAAATCACCATGGCCATTTTGCTGTGGCCTATTTGCCACAGCCATCTTGCTGCAGCCAACCTGGTGCAGCAATCTCACCATGGCCATCTCACCACGGCCAGCTCACCAAGGGACAACTAGCCATGGAATAACTCAAAGCAATAAATGTTATTGTTTTTTCTATCTTGTTTCCATTTTTGTCAATGGAAATAATGCTTAAGAAACAGTGGCAGATAATATTTATCATGTTGAGTTATCCCGCAGATTGTTCAGCAAGTTGGCTGTGGCAAGATGTCCATGGTGAGATTTCTATGCAGGTTGGCCATGGTGAGATAGCCATGGTAAGTAGGCTGTAGTGAGTTGGCCAAGGTGAAATGGCTGTGGTGACTTCACTGCAGCAAGTTGTCCCATTTTGCAGGGAAGAGCTATTTTTAAGGTGAAATTGTATACAGATAGTGCTTAGTCGATGACCACAATTGAGCCAAAATTTTCTGTTGTTAAGCAAGACAGTTGTTAAATGAATTTTGCCTCCAATTTACAACTTTTTTCTGCCACAATTTTTATGTGAATCGCTGCAGCTCCTAACTAATCATTTGATCATTAAGCGTATCTGGCTTGCCCCATTGACTGCTTGTCAGAAGCCGGTTAGAAAGGTTACAAATGGGGATCACATGACCCTAGAATAGTGCAACTGTCAATACATGCCAATTGCCCAAGCTTCCAGATTTTGATCACATGACCATGAGGATGCTGTAACTGTCTGTAAAAACCAGTTATAAATCACTTTTTTCAATGCTGCTGTAACTTGGAACAATCCCTAAATGAACTGTTGTAAGTCAAGGACGACTTATATAAACAATCATAAAATCACTGTACTTTTCCCTAGCTGCTGAATTATTGTCAAAAGCAATTAGTTGGATTTTGAAGAGGTAAAATAGGACTCATACAACCAGGCAGTTCATCTTACTAAATGAGATTTTATTTATTTTTGGGTAAGTTGCCCTTTAGGATACTAACATAAGGCAATTTCTTATAATCATTACTTACTGCCGGTTATTAAAAGAATCAAATTACAATGTGTAATAGAAAATCATATAAACTGGAATTAAGTAACCCTAATAATAGTACAGGTAGTCCTTGGTAAACAATGGTAATTAAGCAATATAGTTGTAAAATGCTCCCTGATGGTAATCCCAGCATCCCATTTTTGTCATTAAGTGGGGATCTTGGTTTGTTAAGTGAGTCCCAGGTGGCTTGCAAAGCAGACCAACAAGCAAGTAACGCATGGTGAAGATGACTTGGGAATGGCTGTTGCTGGGCAGGGGAGGGCGCATAGGTGGCTGGAAATTTGAAAACCAGTCATAAGTACCAGTTATATAACATTTTCGAATGAACGGTCACTGAACAAGTAACGCTTAGTAGTGTTAAATGAGGACTACCTATGAATGACTACAGTGTAACAGTGCAAAAGCCTCTATTTGCTCCGCGGCCTGCCTGGGTCGGGCAAAAGTACTCTGGCCAGGTAAGCGTGTCCTGGGTGCAGAAATTCCCGCTTCCTTTGATAGGTCGCGCCAGGGGGGGGAGATCCGTGGGAGGAAGCCAGCGCAGTTCGAGGGTCACCAGGTACACGCCGCATTAGCTGGCACTGCAGGGGGTGGTCCCACGGCAACGCCAACAGTCCGGGCAATGCACCACCGGCATCTCCGGTTCCAAGCCGCGGGAAATAGCCGGGCCCGAGTTGTCTGCTGCAAGAATGCCCTGCCCATGGCAATGCCGCCAAACCACCTTCTATGCCGCTGGCATCCCCAGGCTGGAGCAGTGAAAGCTGCTCCAGCTGGTCGTTGGGGTGCGGAACCAGGCCCTGGACAGCAGGCCTTGCTCACCGGCAACGCTGGAGCTTCCCACGCCGACCGGTAGGTCTTCCATGCTGCTCCGCTCGGACTGCTGGCTTCTGGCTGCGGGGCTGCCTCCCTCCGGAGCTCTCTTTCCCCTCTCCTGTCTATGTCGAGCCGACGGGGCTTGACAGGCGGACGGCATCCCTTGAACCAATCAATTCAAACTTTGTGAGGTTTTTTTGTGAGAAGTTTGAATTGATTGGTTCAACTTTTTTAGTCCCACTTTTTTGGGGGGGCACTGCACATGGCTGGGAGTCGCAGGAGATGGCTTAAAGAGCCGCATGCGGCTCCAGAGCCGTGGGTTGCTGACCCATGTTCTAGGCAGAGTTAATATAAACACGTTTCACATTCTACAGGGCAAATCAGAAGGATCACATAAATTTGCCTCATTGTTAATGATTCAGTGAAACTAAAATTACACTATGTTCTGTCTCTTCCTTGAACTGCTCGTTCATTTGCTTCCTCAAATAGAATTTCTATGTGCTGAAAAAACATGGGTCTACTTCTTTTTTGAACATTTGAATAATGACCATCCAGCTGATTTATATAACATGCTGCAAATGCTGAGTAAGATGCTGCCCCACTGGGATTTGCCATTCATACATCATTGTTGGCAGTCCATATCCAATGGCATCATGACCCAGAGAAGCAAACTGGGTTCAATAATTCCTCTGCAAATTGGAAAGTCTTCTTCCTAAACTATTCCTTACTGATTTATTCCAGATGACCACAGATTTAAAGACTCAGGAAAGTGCTCTCTTTTGAGAAGAAGCCCTAAACCTAACAAAATAACAGAGTTGAAAGGGACCTTGGAGGTCTTCTAGTCCAACCTCTTGCTACTATTATCTTGTGGATTTGAACTTGGGTCTCACATCAATCAGTATTTTTCAGTGAAGAAATGCAAATGCTATGAATTTAATGTTGGTTCCTTCAAGTTGGACATTAATTTATATTTTTTTAATCATTTAGGCTGTTTTTAGGAAAACATTGTAGACTATGTTCTATACTTGGACTACTTAAAAGCATTGTCTTTGTTTTTCTGAGCTTTTTAAAAATACTATTATTATAAGAAACTAGTAGCTGAAGATACTGGCCTATGGTGCATATGCATTGTTATCTTGGTGAAAAATAAATGCATCATTTCAGTGTTAACAGACTATTTAAGTGTTTGAAAAAAGTTGCATTTTTGTCTGAATTCATTAATCAAAGTGCATGAAAGATTTAAATAATTTTAATTGATTCTTAATGTATTGAAGACCTGTAGCAAAACTACTTATCAATGTTTTAGTCACTTTTAATAGCTTTATAGATCAAAGCCAGTGCTTTGAACGGTACTTGAAAGCCTACTAGTAAGCAAAGTAGAAAACATAACATTGTTAAGTGTGAATTGCAGCTAAGAAACAGGTTGCTACAGTATATCTGTAGTTTCTGAATGATCTTGGTGAGCAGTTCCATGTATGAACTATTGTTTTGCCTGGCCTGTCAACTCCAAGTAGAACCTATAGTAGCTGTTCAATCCACAGCCCCTTTTAGGGATGCTGAGGGTTTCTCTCCAGTGTAAATTTCATTAGAGAGATAGAAACTCATGCTATGACTCCAATCCTTTGGGATATATTCACCTTGTGGATCTGCCTCCTAATATGTAGGAAGGCTGTTTCATACAGCTTTTAATGTCATAGTCTCAGAGATAATAATTGTATGATGAGGAGAATTGGAGTTTTAGTAAGTTTTAATATTTTAGCTTTTGTTGCATTGTTCCTTGGGATGATTTTTATAAACTGCCATGGTTTTCTACTATATGGTAAACTGCCATGAGTCCTTAAGGAATGTAGTGGAATTAATATAGTGTAAGCAAGCCAACAATAAATAAATTGCATCTATTTTCAATTTGCTGCTTTAAAAGTATCTAATAATACAGAATATTTTAAAAAACTGCTTTTCTTAGATTGTAGTACTGGCACTGGTTGCATATTTAATTGTTCCAGCAGGGATGGTGACCTTAGGCAGTCTGGTTTTTATTGTCAGATATTCATATTAATACATTGATATTAAACCGGTATCACTATTACTACATTCTTGTTGAATTGACTCATTTTCTGAGCTTGTTTGACATCCCAAATCATCTGTTTATGGGCTGACCTATTTTTTATTATTGCAGGCTGTGCTGGGAAAGCTACCTTATTAATTTTTCAATCACATAAATAAATATATTTAAGAATCACATCAAAGGTATTTAGAGAACATTGAAATGAAGAGGCCATAGAATGGATAATATTTGTATTCTAGCCCACTTATTCCAAATATTTTGTAAACTGCATTATTTTGATGACATCCTATGTTTTTAGAAAACAATAGAGTCTCCATTCTATCCTCATTCATTTCGGTGAAGAATCACACCAGCAAAGAACTGAAAGTGAATAAAATAAAATCTCTGATCTGCAAAATATCCTGAAATAATACTTTTGGCTTAGTCCACAGTGATAGTCTAGGAGGAGAGCCAGCACATCCTTCTTTTGTTTCCATTTGTCATCTGGTAACAGAAGATTTTCTTTGGCTCACATTTCATACAGTTTTTTTCCACTGTAAAATTTCTAAAAAGAGAAGAATGAATAGCCAGGTGTTAATTTGCTGCTCTTTTCCTGCAGTGTTGATGACAGGGCTCCTTATCTGGCTTTGGGAGCTGTGAAGAACATCTCGCTGAACATCACCATTTCTAACATTGGGGATGATGCTTATGACACAAACATCGCTTTCAACTTTTCCAGAGAGCTTTTCTTTATCAAAATGTGGCAAAAGGTAGGCACAATCAGTATGTCAGACAGGCAAGTTCATCATTTTTATTGTTGTTAAACTGAAGTAATTGAAATTAGTATTCACCACCATTGTAGCAAGGAATAGGCAAGAGAGCCTAGATCCCTTATTTGTTTTGATTGATTTCCCCCCCTCTACATTTAAATGAATTCTTCTAAACAGAAAAAGGCTAAACAGAAATCATTCATTTCTGAAGCATTTTGTCTGAAATATTTTGTTATGAAAGTAACAAACAAAGTGTAACCAAATTGTCTGGTTGCTTGTAGAAATTATTTAATGTTAATAATATTTGAAATTGGTCAAACATAGGTAGTAACCCTAAAACGTCTTCCTACCTAGTGGGCTTAGTTATGCAGATTTCCTAATTTAAGAGGAAGTCACATAAAATTATAGCATTGATCAGCATAATAGTGATTCAGTGTTTATTTCTCGTATCCCACGTTTATTATTTTTACAAATAACTCAAGGTGGTAAATATATCCAACACACTTTCCTTGTCCTATTTTCCCAACAACAACAATCCTGTGAAGTGGGTTGAGCTGAGGGAGAGCGACTGGCTTAAGGTCACCCAGCTGGCTTTCATGACTAAGGTGGGATTAGAACTCAGTCTCCCATTTTCTAGACTGTTGCCTTAACCCCTTGACCAAACTGGCTCCCTTTTTCAGTATTTATTTATTGAATACTAGCTAAAAGACCTTTCTTCTTTCCTTCTTGTATTCTAATCTTTCTTCTATTTTGACGATCTGGATAAATCTCTCAATAAGTAATTGCCAATAAAAACAGTAGTTTCAAAAATGCTTGCTTAAGTCAAATACTGAAAAATCTTTACTAGATATTTATTTGACATTTATTTATTTAAAAGATTAATATGTCCTCCCATTTTAAGCATCTCCAAGTGGCTCATAACAACATCAAAGATTTTCTGCTGTTATTTTTTCCAATATAGTAAATATAGTAATTAAATGAAGTAATTTAATTTAGGAAATGCAGATTTTATTTTGTAACATCTTAGCTTCCATATAACCTTGCTTCATAGGACATGGCCATTCCTAAATATATATAACTACATCATATTATATATTCATATTATGTATATTAAGCTAAATAGAATATTAGAAGTTGCCATTACTACATTCTTTCAAGCTCTAATTGGTAATTGTTTTGCTGAAAGTGTGAAGGGAGTTGTCCCTTGCCATCAATTTCCTCCTTCATTGTCTGCACCTTTAGTTTTGTGAAAATGCATACATTTTTTTTCTATTCTGGGGATGAGGAATGAAGATCTTGATAGATTCAGCGAGATTTCTTTCTCAGATGTGTTGACCACGTTGCATCTCTGTTGTATTCAATTACTGCTGTACTTTTATTCGCCACTCAATATATGAGAGAGCTGATATGAACATCTTGTACTGTATATCTGTGATCATGGAGAAATAAGTATTTGCAATAGGAAGGAGGAGAAGGAAATTAATGCTCAGTAAATAAGGCAAGGATATAACCTTTGGTTGACACTGGACCTCAATTAATATTCTTTGAAATGTCATTAACATTCCAGTGTTCTTTAAATAAATTATTCCTTGGGATCAAAAGAATTCAATTTCCTTGTTAAAAGAAAAAGTTACAAACACCAATGTTAAATTAACTATTTTTCTTCTTGATCAGATTTATGTGGTTTCCTCTCATTGATTAATTTAAGGACATTTAGAAAGCCATGTAAGTCACTCTCTTCAGTGACTCCGGGTGCCTTACAAGGATAAAATACCAATACAAAAGCAATAAAAAAACCCAATAACACTCCACTCCCCTGGCAGCAAAAACAAATGAGCCACTCCATATCGTTCTGAGGTACCCAGGCCCTCTTGACACTCAGTGGGTGGGAATAGGGAAGGTATTTCCTTGATATCCTATTATCTCTAACTAACCTTCCCTGTTTCTCAAATCCCATGGAAGATTAGCAGAATCACTAAACTACAAAAAAAAGTTCAGTGGCTAGCGAAATCCCATAATCTTTATCTGTCTTCAGGGGAAGCTTTTTTCTTGTTTACAGAAGATTAGATGGCTCCTTCTCAGCTGTTCAAAGTTTTTCACATGGTAAACACAATGTGTATAGTTTCCATGCCTGAAGTTATATGATATCTGCATTGATTCATCGTATATATTTCACATGACTGCAGAAACATTTGTCTGGAGGTGCTCAAACATTCCCTCCAAATTCCATTTCATGTCCACTATATAGCCCCATTTATAAAGCCTTGGAATATACCATGTCCTGCCTTTTTCTTTGGCTTGTTCACCCCCAACCCCCAATATGGCTCCTATCTGCTTCTTAGTAGACTTAATGTAGCAGGCTTTCAACTACCTATAATATGGTAACTGGTTCTTTATTTCAAATATCTTATGTAAATTTCAGCAAAAGTATATTTAGTGTAGAGACACTAAGTATCTACTATTATGATTGAAAGGAAAAATTGTGCTCTGACTCAGTAATTATTGGAGTGGCATTGAATTACCCTGCCACTATTATTGTTGCTGGCTCTCATTTCCTTTAGCTGTGAAATTTCATGAGCCATGCTAATGGCATTTCTTGGTAACCCCTTGGTCCTTTTCATTGGGGTGAGAAAGGGCATACTGAGTGATATTTAAAAGGCTTCATTTATTGAACTGCTTCATTTCCACCCCCCCGCCCCCGCCCCCAACTAAATGGGTATTTTCTGTAGTTAGAAGCTTCATAAAATGCCTATAATTGTAGAAGATTTTTTATGATATGAACTTCCAAAGCTGTTTGGGTATTTATTCATACTGCATCTTTCGCACAATTACCCTAGCATTGCTGCTTTAGAAATGGCTAGTGGGGAAATAGAAGTAGTAATAACCAGCAATACTATCAGACCTGAAATTCTCTCCTCCAACATTTCACATTGTTCGCTTTCTATGAGCTTTTCTTTAGAGTAGGACTACCAGATTTCCAAAAAAAGTTAGAATTTCATCTGAGTGATACATATTACTTTGTATATTTGCATAACATGCACAATATTCATATTAATTTTTGTGGTAGTTTTAACCAGTTGATCTCAAAATTTCTGCCTTTCTTGTGTTGAATTTTGCTATGTTTTGTTTTCGGTTGTATGGAATTCTCTTTTTCTTTTCAAACAGAACCACTTTATTCTGTTTATATAGCAAATAACAAAGAAAAATAGCCCTGAAGAGAATAAATGAAGGTAGGTAGGTAGCCCAACATCTGTGTAAGGACAGTTTTAAATGAAAAGCCACCCAGAGTGGCTTTGCAGAATGAGATGGGTGACATATAAATTTGATAATAAATAAAAATAGAACAAACAATAATATAAGTTATTACAGGTAGTCTTCAACTTAACAACAGTTCATTTAGTGACCATTTAAAGTTACAACACTGAAAAAAGTGACGTATGACCATTTTTCAAACTTAAAACCATTGCAGCATCCCTATGCTCACATAATCAAAATTCAGATACTTGGCAACTGACTCATATTTATGACAGTTGTCATGTCCCAGGATCATGTGATCACTTTTTGCAAGCTTCTGACAAGCAAAGTCAATGGGGAAGTCAGATTCACTTAATAACCATGTTACTTACTTAACAGCCGCAGTGATTCACTTAACAATCGTGGTAAGAAAGATCGTAAGATGGAGCAAAATTCACTTAACAACTGTCTCATTTAGCAACAGAAATTTTTAGCTCAATTGTGGATTACCTGTATAGTTTTTAATTCAGATGATGCACTAAAACATTAAACAATTGCTTCAAACAAACTACAAATAGAACAAAACTCTTGGTCCATCCTACTTGTGTCTATTTCTCATAGGAACATTTAAAAATTTTTTTTAGTAGAGTAGGATTGTTGAGCAAATATGCAATAGATGGCTCTACAATTGTTTTAATTGCAAATATTGTCATTTATCTCTTAATACAGAACATATTGAAAGTTCATTGTCTATCAGTTGGTCCAAAATCACTATCTCTACCTCAATCAGTGTTCCATATCACCATTCTTCTTCCAATTTTTAAAGTTGGTTTTCCTCATAATTTGGCATGAGAAAAAGTATCAGATCTTTTTTATTAGATATTACATTGCATAACTTTCTAACTGACATAATTTTAGAAATACTAACGTTTTAGTATATTTAGATCCTAATACTGTCCATCAAACCAAGGATGCTATATATTCTAAAATTGCCCAAATCAGAAAATTTAACACAAATGGTTAATTGAAATCTTTTCTTAAATATATAATCATGTAAAGAAATGAAGCTGCAGTGACTGAAATGTTTGCAGTAAACTTATTAGTGGTTGATTTTTCCATCTGATAATGAATGTTTCAAGACAGACTTTAAAGGAAGATTAGAAATGCACTGGCTATGATTTTGTGCAAAAAGCATTGTTACAAGACTATAATGCATTTGCCAAATACATGAGTTTGTGTCTTATTGTTTTAAGTCAAATTCCTTGATATACAGAAGACAGCTAATTACCTATAACAAAGTACAAATCTTCCCAATTGGAAACTTAACAACACCAATGCAGAACAAAGTTATATTCTGGCACTTCATAAGAAACTTCCAGATCCCCCTTTTTTTTGGGGGGGCTCTTTCTTTCTTTCTTTCTTTCTTTCTTTCTTTCTTTCTTTCTTTCTTTCTTTCTTTCTTTCTTTCTTTCTTTCTTTCTTTCTCTCTCTCTCTCTCTCTCTCTCTCTCTCTCTCTCTCTCTCTCTCTCTCTCTCTCTCTCTCTCTCTCTCTCTTTCTTATAATAAAAAGTATTCATTTCTCAGGTGTCTGGAAAATTTCCTCTTCCCCCCCTCCCCCAAAAAGCAAAGGATCCTCATCTTGTTTGAAGAGGCACAGAAGAAGCTAAGATTGAAATGATAGTTTTTGTTTTGTCTACCAGTATAGCCTCTAATCCAATATTAGTGAACTTAAGAGTAAGCAGACTCCTCCCCCCCCTTCTTTAAT